ATATATTACATACTACATATGTATGTGTGGAGGGAACATACCTGTTCTTACTGCCTGGCACCTTGCAGTTCAGAATAACAGTAGAATAACATTGTCTAACTGTATTTGTTTGTTGTAGATTTTTTTAAACAATTACCAGTACAGTGATTTATATGCATGTGCTTTTTCTGGGATAAAAAGAGTTATATGATATATTGAATTGTAGGATCCCAGCGAGACAGCCAGGCCCAGCACAGTGGCTCACAGATACAAGCCCAGCACTGAGAGAGGTTGAGACACAAGGATCACAGTTTTGAATCCTGCTGGGGTAGCTGATCAAGATTCCGTCTCAAAGTAAAAAACAGAAAAGACTAGAGCTGTGGCTCAGTGGGAAGAGGGCCTTGGAGACTGATCCCCTGCAAAACTAGAAAAAAAGAGAAAAAGAAAAAGAGAAAGAGACACCCAGACTTCCAGCAGTGCTCCAATCACTTGGGATCTAGCCCCCCTCGTTAGGGAAAGCCCTGTCTGTTATTAGATAACTAGGTCTGCCGGGGCAAGGCTCCTGTACATATAAAGTTGACCTTTTTAAGGGTTGTTTGTTTTTGGAAACAAGGTCTCACTGTGTAGTTCAAGCCACCTCTGAACTCATTCTGCAGCCCAGGCTGACTTTGAACTTATAGCTATCCTCCTGCCTCAGCCTCCCAAGTGCTGGCATTACAGGCCTATACCACCACACAGATTTTTGTCTTTTTTTTTTAGTTTTATATTAAGGTGCTATCACTTTCCTGTTAGAGCCGCACATGGTCTCATTTGATTCCCTGGGATACCAGAGTGAGGGCACCACCCTCATCAGGTAGAATACCCAATGCCTGGCACTTTTCACAACCCTCTTCTGTGTTCTCAGAATAGCCCTGTCACCGGTGAGAACTGGAGATCTGGTCGCCTGAGGGGACAGCCAGGGAGCCTGGTGTGCGAGGGGGGCACAGAGCAGCGCCCTTCCCAGTGGCCTGCACGTCAGGTCCCGCCAAGTGGCCCCTCACTTGGCAGTAATCTCCGATCGTCTCTGGTCACGCGAGCATGTAACTTCCTCGTCACGACGCGAGCGGGAAGGCCAGCCTGTCGTGGGCATTTGCTCATCACCAGCTCACAGCTCCGTCCCGGGCCTGGCTCGCAGTCAGCATCTGCCCTGACAATGACAGTGTGTTCTTCTAGCATCGCGCATTGACTCACTCCGTCTGCAGACTCGCTGGCCATTTGGGAAGGGATGTGGAGGAGTTAAGACGGGGAGGTGTCAGATTGTCACTGAGACATTTCTAATTTGTGCTGTGTGCTTCGAGAGCCAACTCTTTCCTCCCGGTTTTCCTGTTTTCTGCAGCACCCCCTGGGGAAAGACACTTTCTGCTCCCACCGAGTTGGCAGGCCCGCTTCCTGACTCTGGGCATCTCAGCTGCCTGGCCCAGCACCCCCTGAGAGCCCTCCCGCCCCTCCAGTCCCAGGGGAAGGATCATGGGAGAGACAGAAGGGAAGAAAGATGAGGCTGACTATAAGCGCCTGCAGACCTTCCCACTGGTCAGGGTAAGCCCCGGGGAGGGAGCCACATGCCCTGTGGGATGGCAGTGGGGAAAGGGAAGGGTCCTGCTGACTCATCTGAGCATCAGGGAGGCGACAGTGATGCATTCTCTCATCCATTCATTCATCCACCACGTATTTTGTCCACCCGCCCTGTGGAGAGCACAGTCCTAGACCCTGTGGGGAGAGTGGCAAACCAGGCAGGTGACAGCCTGGCCCACACGCAAGGATGTTTGAAGAACACAGTTGCAGGCCACAAGTGCCACAAAGAAAACTAGAGCAGGTGTGTGGGCCGTGAGAGCAGCGCCGGATCCCAGAGGGCACTTGGACCAGAGACAGAGCTGGGCTTGGGTACAAGAGTGGCAGTGAGGACACAGGAGATACTGCTGCAGATCCGCAGGGGGACTCAGTGGTCAGGCAGTCAGGGCCAGCCTGCACAGCAGAGGCGGTGGCTCACTGTGCACAGGCCTGGAGTTTGTTCTTCCCTAAACAATGGGAAGAAAAGAGGGTGTCAGGTTCTAAGAAAAGGAAGACGTAGGAAGAGTACGTCTGGGGGGAAATCACATTGTTTTTTCGACATCTAAGTGAGGTTGTCAAGTGGGAAGTTGGATGTGGGAGTCCAGAGCCCAAGGAAAAGCTCAGAGCTAGGGATGGAAATGTAGGAACCAGTCTGTCCCGTGGAGAAGACGTAGGTGTGTGGAAAGGGACGAGACCCAGAGGACCATGGCTGGAGAAGGAAGAGGGTAGAGCTGAGCACGGGAGGAGGAGGAGGAGAATCCGGACATTGAAAAGAAGCCACTGGTGAGACAGGAGAAACCAGGAGCCCTCACGAGCAGCCACTCCCCTAGGCACGTGCCTTGCCATCCGGCCACCTTTCCTGCTGTGTCCACTGCCTGTAACGTGGGCCCTTGCAGAGGGCCCCAGGTGTCAGTTCCATCCCACATGCCTTCGTCCTGTGCTGGGGAGCTATCTGGTGTCCGTGTCTTAAGCACGGAACCCTGAGGCCAGGTAGGAAGGCAGCTCCTGGGCTAAGCCGCTCTCTGTTTGTCCCCCTACCTTGTCTCTAGCACTCGGACATGCCAGAGGAGATGCGAGTGGAAACCATGGAGCTGTGTGTCACAGCCTGTGAGAAATTCTCCAACAACAATGAGGTACTCATCAGGGCTAGGTGGCCCTCGGGCCTGGGGGTGAACAGAGTAGCCCCAGACGCCTGTAGCCAGTGCCCTACTGGGGCTAGGCCAGAGCTGAGCTGGAATCGTCACAGAGAGGCAGCTGATGGTGACAGAGGGAAGGAGGCCAACAGGGTCTCTTCACCACTGTCCCCAGCCCCACAGGTGGGTCACCACCAGGGCTCCTTCCCAGGGTGCGTTCCCCAGGCATTCATCTGCACATCCATCCAGAGAGCACCATGCCAGGCACTGCTACGGGGCTGTAGGCCTCGACTCCCAATGTCACCCGTCAGCCTGGTGGTAGTGAGAAAAAAAGCAGTGACCACAGCCCTGGCCAATGAGAGCCCAGGCTTTGGGCCACCAGGCCCAAGTTTAGACCCTACTCCAGCTTCTCTGCCTCAGCCGTTTCTCATCTCATGCCCAAGGTCCTGCTCTCTGCCCCAAGGATGGTAATAACACCTCCTTGCTGGGCTAGTCTCAAGGATTTCTTTATGAGACAAAGAGGGCTAAGTACGCGGTAGGTGACACAGTGGTGGGTACACATTGGATGTCTGAGCCCTGGCCCGCCCCAGGCCTCCTCTTCATGCTGGGGAGCTTGGGAGGCAGTGGGCTGTGACCACGCCTGGGTCAAGCAGTCCACCTGTCCCTGGAGCCCACCAACCCTGTGGGGCAGAAGCCTCTCACCTGGTACCTTGCCGGGATGATGGCAGCCCCACGCTCCAGAGTGTGGTCATATCCCACGCTCACCACTTCCTGTGGCCCTGAGGACAGGCAGCCTGGGGAGCTAAAGTCTCACTTCCTGTCACTGTGCACCAGCCTGGCAGGAGGGGGCCCACATGGAAATCCTCCCTGAAGGTTCTGAGCAGAGCAGCAGAAACGGGGCTCTCTTGCTGGGAGCCCTGTGCTGGGCTTCCCCTTCCCAGGAGGAAGGGCCTCAGGGCCCTCACTGTCCTCTGACAAGTGGCTCTTCCCTTGCAGAGCGCCGCCAAGATGATCAAGGAGACGATGGACAAGAAGTTCGGCTCCTCATGGCACGTGGTGATCGGCGAAGGCTTTGGCTTTGAGATCACGCACGAGGTGAAGAACCTCCTGTACCTGTACTTCGGGGGCACCCTGGCTGTGTGCGTCTGGAAGTGCTCCTGACCGTCCGACCCCCGCAGGGCTGTTCCTGCCTCTGTTCCAGGGAGCGGGCGGCCCTACACAGGGCCCAGCCTTTCCAAGGAGAGTTTGGGGTCTTTTCTTTCGTCCTTGTGTGCCCATTTCCTGAGCCATGCCCAGTGTGTGAATCTGTGGACACCTCCCCCCAGGCTCCCAGCCATCTCCCTCTGAATCCCCAGTGGTGGACAGGGCAGAGGCAGTGTCTCTGTAAGGGTGGGGCGGGGACGTGTGACAGGGTATAGGAGCCAGGGAGCTGGGATTTTTCCCAGAAGGACATGCCAGTCCCACCTTCTCCAGGGCTGTTGTCATTTAGCATCCCGAGAGCCCCACTGCCCTTCTGACCCCAGTACTGCTAAGAAATGCCACTGTTCTTGTTGCTAGTGGCCATGTGGAAGTGGCCCCAAGAAGGAGCCTCTAGTCTCAAGGGACACAGGCGGCTTCTCCTTGTCTCTGGGGACAGTGACCACCCCCAAAGTCTTTCCCCAGCTTGGTCATGGGCCAAGCAAGCAAACCCCATGCCTCACAAACCTGTGGCTCCGCAGCCCGGGTTTGGCAGGAGGCCCAAGCCCTCCCCACCCTGTCCTCTCCTGCCCAGGTGCATGAACCTCTAGTAGCCTCGACTGCCCGAGACCAAGTGCACACGCACAATTGGGAGCCAGGCACTGGGGCGCGGGCAGTGACCCGCGCGTGCTCACGCTGTCACTGAGCTCCGGTGAGACACTGGCCAGGAGGGCTCTCGCCGTGGGCCGCTTCAGCAGGGAACCTGGCCTGCCAGTGGCTTATCATCAGGGACCGCATGCTGATTTGTACTTCGTATCTCTGCCGGGTTTTCTAGATTCTTTTTGAGTGTGGGGAGAAGGGTTTTAGTAGAAGGGTGAATCCTATTTTACACAGCGGTCTTATTTATATAAATGTCTTGGTTTTTACAATTAAAAGTAGCAAAAATTGACCTTGAACTCCAGCCTCTTGAGATGGGGAAGATGTTTCCAGTGAAGGACTGCGAGGCTGCTGGAAGCCCCCTCACCACCACTGTGGGGCTGCCCCAACCAAGCCCCTGGAAAGGGGTTTGCACCGCCCCACACAATTAACCAGGCTGAGCAGAATTGCTGTGGCATCACAGGGCCCAAGAGCTGGGTACCAACAGGTGGGGAGCCCCGGGCCCCGGCCTCCGAGAGGGCAGTCAGCCTCAGAGAACCACTGTGGCCCAGCTGTTCCCACTGGGTGTCTAGAGGGAGGACAGGGCTTTCTGGGAGGAGGGCCCAGGCGCAGCCTCTGAGCAGGGTCCCCCGGCTGGTGGAGGCCGGGAGCCTTCGCATGAAGCTCAAGATTTTGTCGGGAAAGCAGCTCGGGTGCTGGCAGAGCAGAGAAGGACATGGGATAGGCACCTTCTGGGGCATGTAAGCTCTTTGGCTTGGCCCCAGTCCCAGTCTCAGGTGAGGGCACACTGGGCACCTCAGATGGCACACCTGGAACTCAGGCTGGGGAGCCCTCAGGCCAGCCACCCCTGAAGAGCACCTCATGACAAAGTCACACCGGCAGTGTCCCCAGGCCAGGTGGCTCAAGGGCTAAACTGCCCCCAGGCCCTGGCTGGACGGCTCCCTGAGCCCAGGCCTGCTCTGGCGGAGTCTGGGCCACACCCGGTGTTGCACAGATGGCAATAGAAGGAGTTCGGGGTGGGGGCGGCATGGGAGGTACAGAGGCGGCGCCAGGCCTAGAATAGCTGCGGCTGATGAACCGCCTGCTGGCATCTGTTCTCTAATCTGGCAAGTGGGTGCCAGCAAGTGTGGTGGGCACCACCTGTAGCCGGGTGGCAGAATGGTGGCCAGGAGCGTGGTCCCAAGGTCCAGGGATCTGGCTCTGGACGCCTTGCTCCTCGGAATCACACTGCCTCGGCTTCCTTATCTGCAGAGTGGGGACGGAGGGCACCTGCCTCTCTGGGCTGCCAAGAAGCATGGGACAGTGTGCGGCTGCCAACACCCTGCCAGCCTCTCTTGTTGCCACTGGGCCCCTCTTCTGCCTGTAGATGTGGGGTGCCGGCAGCCAGCTCCCCAGTACAGGTGGGAAGTCACAGGATGGGCCTGGGCCGGGCCCAGCCCTTGAAGGCCTGCAGCGTGGCAGCACCTCTGGCAGCGAGCACCCTGATACATTCGTGGCAGCTGTCATTCCCATGGGCCCCTCCTGTTCGCAGAGTGGCCACTGGTGAGCCAGGCCACGCCAGGGTCCATGGCAGGTGTGTTTCCCCAGGCTCCTTTGCTTGGCCCAGTGGCTGTCCTTCCCTCTGTCCCCAAGCCCACACCAGTGTGGTTCCCTGGCTATCACTGGGGGCTACTTAATGAGCTGGTACCACCCCTGTGGCCAGTGGCCTACAGTCTAGGGAGGGGACAGATATGGGAGCAGACAGCAGCACATAGCGAAGTCATTGCTGGTGGGGAGAAGCTGGGTTCAGGGAACCTGGGGTTCAGAGAAGGGAGCAGCTCTCGCTAGCATCTCCCAGGATGGCTGAGGGCAGCCAGAGGAAAGGAGGGGCCACTGCTTGGGGAAGCAGCAGGGACAGAGTGGAGCTTGAGGAGCCCCGAGGTGCTCAAAAGTACGAGGGATGGAAGGGCCAAGGGGCACAGTCATCAGGCTCGGTAGCAGGCCCTGAACCCAGCCTTACAGCCTCTTTTCTTCCTGCACCACCACCAGCCTCCCCAAGTCTGTTCGCCTCGGTCCTGCTCCTTGGCCACGCCCCCATGGCCGTGGACACCATGGTCTATCTCTGGCTTGGCCACCTCCTGACTACCATCATGCCCCTCCCCTTCTCCACTGCCATCTGGGGGGCGGGCAGTGGCCAGCATGTCGGTCCCCTCCCTTGAGCTCAGCCAGAGTCCTCACCATAAACTGCCTGGAGAATAGAGGGTACTCTGGTTCCTGGGCTCATGAGGGGACCACGTAGACCCCAGAGCCGTGGGCCCCTGGGATGGAGGACGGGAGTGGAGCCCTGGCTGCCTGTGTGAGCAGGTGAAGCAGAGCTCAGGGTAGGGAGACCCGAGTGCCCACAGCCATGAAGCGGGTGTGCTGCCGGGCCTTCAAAGCTGTCAGTGGGGCCGCGGGAATCTTCTGGGAAATACCGAATATCGCCCTGGAAAGGTGCACAGGAGCTCCAGATCTCTCTGAGCCTACTTCCGCCTTGTCCAGCAACTCACTGCACAGGCAGGGAGTATCTAGAGGGTGAAGTTCTAGCACAAACCAGTATCCCCAACCCCGGCCTCTGAGTATGAGAGCTGTGTCCTGCAAAGAAGAGGGAAGCGGCCATGCAGCGCTATCCCCCAGCCCTCCCCCAGGTGGGGAGGGGGCAGTGAGTTTAGCCACAACCACCGCCCTGTTCCAGTTTCCTTTTGTCCTCTTCTCGTATTTAAAGAAACCACCTCCCACTGCCAGCTGCTGTCTTCAGTCCTTAGAAAGGCAGTGAGTGCAGGGGAGGGGGGGCTGGGATGCAGATGACTGGAATTATTATTACAATACCCCAGCTCAGCAGCACCTCATATGGGCCAGGTGCTGGATCTGGGGTTGCTCCACCCAGGCCTGCTCCTGTCCCTCTTATGGGTGAACTGAGGACCTGTGATTAAGTGGCAGAGCCAGGATCACCCCTGGCCCAGCTCCTGTGGCTGCTGCCAGCAGTGACAGCACCTTGGCTCTGTGGATGCCAAGGTCCCCCACCTGCACAATAGGATCCACAGTGCCTGCCCTGCCTCCAGGTCAGCCGTGGCATCTGTGGCCATGAATGTGCAAGTGATTTGTGTGTGCTGTTTTGTTTTTGAGACAAGGTCTTGCTACGTAGGCCAGGCTGGCCACAAACTCACGAAGATCCTCCTGCCTCAGCCTCCTGGGATTACAGGCGTGCATTGCATGCCCAGCTTGTGCAAGTGCTTTGAATTTAACCAGGGCTGGTGGGAGATCTGGGTCAGGACCAGTGTGGGTGTCACCCCACTATGACCTCCACTCTGGAAAAGCTGAGGCTCTGGAAGGCTGGGCCCCTGAAGGTACCTGGGCCCACAGAGCCAAAGCCAGGGAAACAAGGTGACCATGTACACCCCCTGCCCAGTAACTGAGCGCCCCACACGGTGGGGACCAGACCTTGCTTCATACTGAGCCAGAAAAGAGGGTATGTGAGGCCAAGCAATGACCCCACCATGTGGGCCAGGGAGGTTCCAGGTCGCCTTCCCTCCGGGTGGCCAAGGGCTTTTCAGACAATACCTGAAAGGCTAGAGCTGGCCAGGGTCCAGGGTACCAGGAGATTGGGGAGGCAGCAAGAATGACGCCTGCCCCGAGGAACCCTGGACACCAGTCCCGACGGTCACTTTGTGTCCTCACCATGCCTTATGTGTGGCCTCTGCGGGGCTGAGCACAGCTGTGTATTCAGGTACTTGTGTCTTCTGTCATGGTGTCTGCACTTCAGTTACTCCATGGCCTGGACTCACTCTCTGTGGTCCACAGTGCCTGGGTAGGATGTGACAGGCCTCAGGGAGGTGGCAAGTAAGTGAAAGGAGGGATGGCCTGGGCAGATAATGGTGGGGTGGATGGATGGAGGGAGGGATGACAGATAAATGGATGGGTAATGGATGGGGGGCGGAGTAAGCAGAAAGGTAGGTGCGGTGGGAAGGTGGGAAGATGGAAGAGACTCCCCAGGAGGCAGTTGGGCACATGCAGGGAGGCACACTGGACCAGGCCTGAGCCTCATCCTTTGATTTCTGATACCTTCTGTCCCGTTCCCAGCCTGTCACAAAAGGGCTTAGCCTTCTTTGTCTGGGGCTCCCTCAGTCACTACCCTCTGAGCTGGTTCCTAAGACAGGCAGTACCCTCGAGTTGCTACCGGGAAGCCCTGCAAGAGATGAGGGCCTTGGGGTGAGGGCAGCTGCCCGACTGCCTGCCGCTGTGAAGCGGTGTCCTCCCGCCGGCCAGCCGCTGAGGCCTTCTCGCCCCGTGTTCCTGGAGGATCTGTGTAGTGCAGCTGAGCCCCTGCCCCAGGCTCCCTGTACCCCTGCCCTCCAATGGTAAATTCTCCCACCCTGCCACCCAGCCAGCTTTCTCTAAGAGGAGCGCCCTCTACTGCTCAGAGCCCAGGGAAGGCTCATCCCCAGCCGGCGGTCCAGGGCGACCTCTGGTGGCCATGTGTCAGCATCACATGGCTCACGCCGGCCTTGGCCTGGGTGTGAGGAGGATCCCAATTGGGGGATCAGTAGGTCTGGCTGGAGGGCGCACCACGCCGCTGGGCCCCTGGCATCCTCTTTGGGTTTGTTGGGCCCACAAGAGAAAAGGTGGTAGCTTCAAGTCAGTGAGACCTGATTTTTCTGCTCTTCATTCACACACATTTATTGAGCACCTAGTGCATACCCTGCCTCTGTACCTGCTGAGCCAGCAGCCCTTCCACAGCCTGAGCCACGCCGTGGGCTCTGTACCCCAGAGTGCACAGAGCTGAGGAGAGGTACCAGCACACATCTCCCTCCACCCACACTGCACCTGTCCCACTGTGCCCCAAGTCCCTCACCCTAATGCCTCCCTCAGGGGCCCAGGAAATGCGACCTGGACAGGAAGCACTTGGTGACTCGAGGTCCCCTGACACAATGGGCCACCCAGCGTCTCCTCTCGGGCTCCTGCTGGTTCCCTTGCAGGAAGTTCTTGCGCGGCTTTCCTGGAAACAGGGCCAGCCTGAGCTGCTCAGGGACAGCCTGAGTGGCTGGGCACAGGACGGTCACTCTCAGCCTGAGGGAATCCAACAGGGCCACTGCCAGTCCCCAAACCCAGATTTCGTTAAAAAAAAGAAAAGAGACAAAACAAGAGACATGGGCTGGTGAGAGAGCTCAGTGGACTAAGCACCTGCTTAGGCAAGCACAGGGACCAGGGTTCAATCCCTGACACCACATGCTGCGCTGACCCCCTCCCAGGCATGCTGAGCTGGCCACCAAGA